GTTTTTTATATAAAAGAAATTATGTGTTATTTAAGCTTGTATGACTGAGTTACTTCACTTAACATTATGCTCTTGAGATGCACCCATTTTCGTACAAATTACTCAATTTTTAATGACAGAGTAGTACTCCATCATGTATAAAAACCACATTTTTTATCCACTCGTGTTAATAATTTCTTAATATGTAAGTTTCATTTTCCATGATATAAGCATTATTTTTATATTAAATATGTTTCATTTAAGAAAATAGTTCATTGTCCTATAAAATGTAGTGGCTGATCTTGTTTTATTTTGTTTTTATTTCTCTGTTCTTGCACTTAATCATGTTGGAGAGTGTATATTAATGCTTGTGCAAGTTCACATAAGTGTTCAAAAATACACAGAGAGAAAAGGAGTTGGGGGGGACTATGCTTTCAAAGGTATAGGCAAAGCAGCCAGGCTGGGCCAACTGAAGGGTGAGATTATTGTGCTCTCACTGAGGGAGCCAGGTTGCAAGGAGTGTAATGTGCACAGGTTTGTATTTCAGGAATAGTATTGCATTCTAGAATTATGAAGGAATCACTGGGATGACAGAAAATAGGGATTTCTGAGATGCTTATTTTATTTATTTTTCCCCCATTAAGTTTATTTGTGCATTTTAGGTATACAGTATAGTTACATTCATCATTGGGCTCTTGTACCTTTACAAAATTTATCTTGATTCTAATTTTTCCCCATTCCCCCACCCTCCCTTCACCCCTCCACCCCTCCATTTACAAAGACTTTGTTTCCATTTTTTTCCTTTACTCATATTCTTTCTTTTCCTTTGTTACCTTTCCCCTACCGCTTCCAGTTCCACAACTCTTTTAGAATTTTTCTCCGTATTATACAATATGAACCTTATTTACACTTTAGTTTCTCACACCAGAGGAACTATTTGATATTGACATGTGTAGCCCATTAATTTCATCTAAGAGTATGGCCTCAATGTGCATCCACTTAGCTGTAAATGTCTCTAGTTTCTCATTCTTTATGGCTGAGTAGTACTCCGTTTTATTAAAAAACCACATGTTCTTTATCCAGCTTCCAGTTGATGGGCAATTGGGCTGTTTCCAAGTTTTAGCTGTTACAAGTTGTGCCACTATAAACATGGATGAGCATATATCACTGTGATATGATTCTTTTAATTCTTTTGGGAAGATACCCAGCAGAGGAATAGCTGGGTCAAATGGCACTTCTAATCCTAATTCTTTGAGGTATCTCCATATTGATTTCTACAGTGGTTGCACCAGTCTGCACTCCCACCAACAATGGAGAAGAGTTCCTTTCTCCCTACAACCCCACCAGCATTTGTTTTTGGTTGATTTCTTGATGGCAGCCATTCTTTCTGGGGTGAGGTAGAATCTCAGTGTTGTTCTCATCTGCATCTCTTGAATGACCAGTGATGTTGAACATTTTCTCATATATTTATTTGCTCCTTTTACTTCTTTGCCTAAGAAACGTCTAACTTTAAAGCATAGCGAGAAAAGTGGATGGGCCATTTAGAAGGTGAAATCTACTTGGTGTTGTTGTTGGTTTAGAAGAATCAGGGAGAGGGAGGAACAGGCAACATTTCCTAATCCCTGAGGAGAACCTCATGTACCTACATGGAGACCATGCTTGTAACTTCTGACTTCCAACTCTCTGTCCAGTACTCTTCTGCCTTCATAGTCAGCTGAGCATCTGGTAGGAAATCAGGGCTCTTTAGGAAATCAGTTCGATGAACATTCAGAATCTTCCAAAGGTTCAGACCAGAAAACTGAGGACTGAAATGCTTTTGGTCTGAATCATTGTGAAATGTGTGCCCCATCCTCTTACCAGATTTTAGAGATGATGACAGAAGTGCAGAGTCAGAGCCAAGGGACAGCGGTCAGCACAGGGCACCTCACATGGCTCAGTGAGGGCATCACCACAGATCAGGTTACAGTGTGGGCTGGACTTTCAAAACTGAGTGCAGCAAGCAAGGTGGTTGTTTTAGAAATAAGGATGCTGCCTTAAAAATATCACACACTCACTTGACAATAATTAAAACTGACACTATGAAAAATTTGCCAGATGCCAGAGAAGGTGTGAAACATATGACATAACCTTATTTCATTCTCCAAACAACAATATGAGGCATAGATTCTTGTTATCCCATTTTCCAAAGGCTTAGCAAGGTTGCATAATTTTCTTGAAAGGATTAGAGCCCAGGTTTAGTATCATCACTGTAAAAAGCTGGTTTATGTGGTGAGTACCTAAATAAAAAGTTTGTCTTTGTCTCATGCATCTAGATAAGACAATGATTACTTATATTTCTCTTAAGACTAATATGTATTTATTTTTTAAATTAGATGTCAAGGATATTTCGACGTTCTGGAGGAGGTCGATTTATAAAATCTCATGTTATCAAATTAAGGTACGTAAACTTAGTCTATAACTTTAAATCAATTATTTTAAGATGAAGTATTGAATCACCACGCTTGTTCAGTTGTCCTGAGAAAACATGTGTGGAAACGCAGACTTCTCACAGACTTTAAACAAGGTCATGCTACCTAACCATTCCTTGCACAGTAGACCTCAAGTGCCAGCTGATGTTAAGGTCGCCGATAGCAGAGAGAAAAGCTGCAGTAAGGGTGCAGATGGTGCCCTGAAATCACTAATTAAATTATTTCCCTCTGTAAGGCCTTTTCCCTAATGCTTCATTATCAGCTGATCACCAAATGCCTATATGCCAGTGCTTCAATACAACCAAGGTATATTTCAAGTGCATGGGACAGGACTTATTCAAAGATTCAGAAGTGGAGGCTGAGAGATAGTTGCTGGTGGGCTGTGGGCAGAGTCACTGCAGGACTTCTGCTTCTGGTTGACAGGCAAGGCAAGAGCAAGAGGCTGGATATTGATATAGGAGGTTTTTCAGGGGCCGGACCTAGAAAGGCGAGACCTTTTTTCTGCTGAGTTCTCATTGGCCACAATTCACTAAAGAATTTCAGTTAACTTGAAGGAAAAGTAGAAATGAAGTCTAGCTCTGTGCTTAGGAGACAAAGGACACCGGGTTTGATAAATAAAAAAATATTGCTCTGCATATCACTCTGAAGTATAATGACCTCAGGTACAACTTTTCTATTCAGAAAGCCTTAAGAAACAAATACTGTGAGTGCATGTCAAACACGAATTTTTTTTTGGTAGGGATCGAACTCCAGACTTAGTGCTTGCGAGGCATCAAACATGAATTTATGAACATCTCCTTCAAAAACCTTTCAACTATGAACTAAGGAATCACAGAGGATAATTTTTTCAGACCTATACCTTATCCAGTATTTCTAGCGTGTTGCCTTTACTTCTCTAGTGCTTCCAACACCTCCAACATTCATTCCAACTCCTTTATCAGCAGATGATTTTAAAATCTTGGTGCACAATATCATCCACACGTTTTTTTAAATGTAACAAGTCCTAATAGGTGAAAGTGTCGTGCCCAGATCGCGATATCACCAAAGACCACCAAGGAGTCGAGTCTGATGTAATTACATGAGGAGTTTATTGCAGGCTAGAGCCTGGCAAACTCGAGCCTGGACCTCCAGTGGCACCGTCACAGCGGCTTCCAACTGAAGGCCCCAACCCACTTTCAAGGCATGATTATATAGGGGTGGGGAGGCTTTCTCTTTTTATTGGTGCTATTTTTAACTTTTCATTACTAATGGTTATTACTGGGGTACTTATGGGAAATGACTAATACCCACGGGGAAATCAGCGGGGAGTCACTATGTTCTTTGTTTTCAAAGAACAGCCTATACTGGCCGGGGATTTAGCTCAGTGGTTCAGTGGCCTGCCTTGCAAGCGCAAGGACCTGAGTTCAATCCCCGGTACCAAAAAAAAAATAAGAACACCCTATATGATTACACAATTAGGCAAACTCTTTATGCTTAGCAAAGCATATGGTTTCCTTGCTTAACTTATTCATTACTAAGCAACTATCGGGGAGGAGATAAATTCACTCTTGGGCCAAAAGAAGAGGAACAGAAAAACAGGGAGGAGACTGTTATAGCCCCCTGCCCAGAAAACTTAGTCTTGCTGTTTGGAGCAAAGCGTAAAGAGGGAGACCACCTCGATCAGGAAACTTGGTTCCTGCAAAAGCAGTCTGTGAGTAGAAAAATGACATCGTTTGCCTGGATTTTGCCTTTCAGTCCGAATGAAGACGGTGTGAACATTTTCATGGTGCTGATGTTTCGATACCCGTCCACTGATAGCGTTGAACGAATCAAGAAGAGAATTGAAAGGATTTTATACCAAAGTCTGAAGATCAGGCCATTGCCTTTGACTATAAGCAAGCCATCATTTAGACTCACACGTAAGTCTTTGGTTTTATTTTAATTTGCCTTTTTAGAAGCCTTTACTTGTAATCCCTTTTATCTTCCATAATAATTAGGTGGATGTATTCTCCCAGTTTAAAAATTCACCCCAACAATGAATGTCATTATACTTTATACATTAAATGTACCAATAAAATTAATTTTAAAAAATACAGAGGACAAACTTGCCCTCCAATTTGAGAGAGTGGCTTGGCTTCTGGAGTTTCCTGGGATGTGACACCGTCAGCCCCCCTGGAGTCCTTACTCGGCTCTCTTCCTGATTACTTGCACCGTAGGGCGTGGCCAACTTTCTGTTAGCGCCAACCCTGACAACTGTGCTTTGCAACATTCCATTATTTGGAATACTCCTATAATTATTAGTAATGAACTATTGATGAAATCCAGGGAACAACAAAACCTTCTCTTACTGTTTGGAAAAAAAAAATCGGTGTGCAATTTTCTAAACTCTTCTGTTTCCTAATCAAAATTAAAAAATAAAATACTCTTGGATTTTACAATTTTAGCTAAATATCTAATCAGAGTAGAGGATTATTGATATATTACTTGGTTATGAAAAATTCCATTCTCTTTTACAGTATGGGTACTTTAAGTAATTAGAATTCGGAACCTTCCAATAATTAACATTTCTAGTACTGAAATTTGAACAAAAATAGCATAAGAAAAGGAAAATATAATTCTGCCAACTAATTCGTGTCTTGTCATCCTAGCTATTGACAGCAGAAAGATGAGGAATCTTCTCAACAGTCGTAAGTTCCAAAACCAACAATTAACTCTCCAGTGCACGATAAACTAATGAAAATAGACACAGAAAAATTAGAAGTACAATTTGAAGCGTTTTTGCTCATTTATATTTTCATGAACCAAACTACTAGTCCTTATATGTTTTATTATTTTTAGTATCTAAATTATTACATTTACAAATCCATGACAAACATAATTATCTTTAATAACCTATAAAATATGGTTTTAAATTATACAATATTCTAAATATTATATTAATTTAAATATTTCTTTTTTAACATCCTCTTCCAATTCAGGGGAGTACTTTTAACTGGTAAGAAGTTATGATTTTTCTTTTTAAATTTTTTGTTTTCTTGCATTTTATTGAAATATCTGATTTGTATATTTTATACCTCTTTGACAACCCCTTTCTCCCTACACCCAAGCATATTTGGGGTCTTTATGGACAAACATGTGCCTATTAAAATGTTGTAAGGACATTTTCAAATCTTTTCAAAGGAAAATTTAAAGTCTAATTTATCAAGGATTTCAGATAAGGGGATAAGAAATTTTTTCTAAACTAGAATTTCAAAATTTATAAGATGAAGAGAAGTTCATTGATTTAAGATTGAAAATGATTCTGTTTAGTGATATCAAAGGCAAATCCTGCCCTACATTCGAGGCTGAGCCCCCTCTCATTACTAAGGACTTGGCTGGCGTGGGTGTAGATGCTCATTTTATGTCCCCCTCTTCTCTCACCAGCTGGGGACCTCTGACAATCTGTGTTCCTTCTCCAAGGCTTAGTTTCCTTATTTAGAAACTGATACAATATATAAATGTATCCAAAGCATTTAGCAGAGGAACTATACATTTTGATACTCAGTAAATTATCTGTTTATTGATGAAGGAAAAGTCAAAATGTCTGAAAAACATTGAAAAGAAAGTAAAAAATCCTTTTCTGATCCTTAATTGATGTGCTGTTTGGGTACACTACCATGCCAGCTTGTGGAGAAATGAATCTGCCAGAGGGAGCAATTTGCTGAACCTGAAAGTTCTGCAAGCTTTGTGGTACAGGCCGACAGGTTTGCTCCTGACCTGGACCTCCCAATGTGCTTAAGAACTTATGTTAACTCCAGGTTGTGTCAATTTCTACTCTCTGATCCACCTCAGCCTTGCTTATTTCCTTCAAAGAATGCCACACTGCCATCATCACTATTTCTGGTTGCAAAAACCCAAGCCCAACTTGGTTGGAACCCTTGTTCAGCGTAACTGAATGTACATTTCCCTCTGTACAAACCTATTGTGCTCCCAGTTAATATTTTCTCTGCTTGTATTTAAACTCATTTATGACTTCATGGTTTACTTTAGCCATCTATATATGATTATAACAGAGGTCAGTCTTGGACTGAGTCCATTGAGATGTTAGTAAACTTTTCTTCTGAGCCTCACTGCAATCACCAGCACCCATAAATAATAACTTCAGAGGCTGAGTGCTGAGAATGGGTGGGGCAATGCTTTTCTAAGTAGCACCATCCAACACACATTAGGATATTGCTTCCTCCTTTTTCTGATACGCTAACATGAATTTCTGTGACAGGCTGTGGAATAAGAATGACACCTTCAAACATGCCATTACCAGCATCATCCTCTACTGAGAGGATTGTTCAGGGAAGGGAAACGGCTACAGATGGGGAGTGGCCGTGGCAGGCCAGCCTGCAGCTCATCGGGTCAGGCCACCAGTGTGGAGCCAGCCTCATCAGCAACACGTGGCTGCTCACAGCCGCCCACTGCTTCCGGAAGTAAGTCCACCAGGGCTGCCGGGAACATCCTTTCCCAGTTCTCTCTTGCCATTGATTTAGAGTACAGGAATAGCCAGTCTCACCAGTCTATTCTCTGATCCACTCAGGGTGGACCCCACTCTGTCCCTGAACACACCATGTACCATTGATGATACTTTATATCATTAGTAGTTTTTACCATATATTTCCTCTATTGCCATGATCATAGTGCTATCTTTTCTGCTATATCATAGATACGTACTACACAGGTATAAAGACTATTATACCTTAAAAGGTTAACTTCTTCTACATACACAGAAGCAAAGAAAAAATTCTGATAGCTATTTACTTCATTGTAAATATTGTTGAGGGTACCCTTCCATGTGCTTTTGATCTTGGTTCTTCCCTAAAAAACAACTTCCCTAAGAAGTGCCAGTATGTTACATTCTAATGTCATGATCCCACTATGTGCTATTCATCTTTAACCTTGGTTTTAGTTTTTACGTGTACAGCAGGGATTTCAATAAAGAATTACAGACATTAAAAAAAGAAACAAAGTCAGCCACTTCAGTTTTGCTCTTTTGCCCTAATTAATCCAACTTCCCACTGTCAATATCCACTATTATTTTACAAATAAAAAATATCATAGATATCCTTCCTGAAGTTCACCATTCTCATCACAATATCCAAGATGCCCCATGGGCTTATGTGATTCAGAGAGGTGTGTGGAAGGCAGGAGAGGCCTGCTTACCTTGTTGCACTGCCCTCACAGTGTGGCAGATGTGACATATAACCCAGCAACACCGCTGCGCTGGTTGTAGCTCTCAGGACTCAGTAGTGTCGATTCACACACACACACACACACACACACACACACACACACACACACACACACACACACACTGTAAAGCCAGATGAAGGGCACACCATATTTTTTATCCCTGAAGTTTTACTATTAGGATAAAGAAAGTGTTTCCTTTAAAGTCTCAATAGGCAAAGGATCTGAGTACAGCCCCTCTGCCTGGCCAATAGCATTGTTCACAGACTCTTCAAAAGCAGCCCAACCTTGATGATTCAGGGAAGATTTTTATCATCTTCCTATTAGTAACAGCCCAAATGTTTCCAAGATATTTGTACCATGTTTATGGGATAGGGAAGCAAAGAAAATTACCTAATGAGAAGAGGCCCATTTAACATGTACTTACAAATCAAAAACTGATTAACATCATGTCCTAGAGGTGAACCTGAGACTCACTCACTTGTGAGGATGTTCTGATTTATTCATGTTCACATAGTTCTTCAGTGTTTAAGCTTCTGTTTTTGTATCATCCTTGTTAATTTACACCTGATCTCTGTATCATGTAAATTAAATTAAATAAAGCCAAAATGCCAACTTAATGTTCAAATGAAGAACTTAAGCTTTAGTTATTAAAATATTTGCTTCAGTGGGTCCATTGCAATTTTTGTGGGCTGGCAGACCTACTTAAGAATTAGACATTTAGTAGAATAAAGTAGAAATTCTAGGTGGTCTTGATAAGAGAAAATTTGATAATATGATTAGGAGAGTCATGGACTCAAGAGAGACAAGAGGAAAGATTGGATGAAGTACATTTAAATACTTTTAAGGAAATTTTGAATGAGGGGAGGCAGAGCAATGTGGCAATTGATGTGGTTGTTATGTCAAAGGAAGTTGTTTTGTTTTGTTTTGCTTTGTTTTAATATAGGAGACATAATTCAGCAGAGCTTGGCAAAGTGGTAATTCTGGCAAAGAAGGATTCAGTTTTCAGAATGATGTTATTTCATGTAATCTCATAGTGTGATATATTAATGTGAAAAGAAAAAAGGGGTATTTTAGCTGTTATGAAAATTATCTTCAATTTTTGTACATGTAGTTTTAATTCAGAAATCAATGTATTTTCAAAACACTTTTAAGACAAATCTTAGCACCTTTATATCTATGAAAAATTATCTCAGTCTTCATGAAACAGTTTAGGGTAGAAAAAAGAGTTCTTCGTGTGATGTTAGGAGACCTGGACCATCTTTTTTTTTAATTTTAACTGTCTTACCAGGAGAAGCCTCTGAACTTTTGGGTATCACCGTCCTTATCCATGAAGCATGTTAAATTGGGTGGGCCCATTATGTGAGGCTTCCTCTTACCAAGAAAGCATAAAGGGATGGGATAATTCTATTTTGTTTTCTTAGCTTATGGGCCCCTTCTGTTCTGTTATACCTCCCAAATTATATTATCTAGTGTCTGGATTTCACATGAATGCTATAGTCCTAAGATTTCTGCTTTCAGTGAATGTCTCACTGTATAGATAAGTAGAACAGATGAGACAAGAAGCCCTTTCCTGTGCCTGGGTTCTTTGTACTCATCCCTGAGACAGTGGAGAGTACTTAGAAAACCATTGACCTTTGGGCTTTTATTATTCTTAAAAGTAAATGTTTTTCTATCTTCTCAGCCATAAAGAATGAGAAATTAGAGTCATTCATAGGAAATTGGATGCATATTGAGCTTATACTCTTAAGTGAAATAAATAAGTCACACATGCATAAATACCGAATAGTTTCTCTGGTGTGAAACACTATAATTGTACATAAGATCTTCATGGAATAATTGACAATGTGAAATAGGAAGAAAAGGGCTAAAGGTGTAGGGGAAGTGGGAAGGATAGGGGAAAGGAAATAAGGGAAAATAAAAAATATGAGAAAATGAAAATACGGAAATAAAGTTTTTGTAAATAGGGAAGGGAGGAGGGGTTGAAGGAAGGGTAGGGGTAACAGGAAAAAAATGAGAAAAAAGATCTGTCATGTAAAGGTACAAGATCCCAGCGATGAATGTAACTGTACTGTATAACTAAAATGTACCAATAAACTCAATGAGAGAAAAAAAGTTAATGTTTTGCCAACATGGTAATCACTCATGAAAGAGGAAACCCCCCTTTAAATTCTCTCATTTATTTCCTTCTACACAATTTACCTTCCCCCTGAGAATTTTATGTTTCTATCTGTCTAGTCATTCTTAATGGGGATAATTTTAAAAAGAGTGAAGTAGACTTTAGATAGAATTCACAGGTCACAGATTTAGCTCAGTGGTTCCACTGCCTGCTTCAGAAGTGCAAGGTCCCAAGTTTGACACACACACAAAAAAAAAAAACCAGAAAAAGAGTTGCTAATAAGCCAGTCATTTTAAAACTGAAAGCTAAAAAATTGGAAATTAATCTTATTAATAAATTATACACAGTTAAATGCATTAGTCACAAGAAATCTTTTTCTCAGAAAGCACTATAAATTATCTCATCATAGGGATCTTCCAGGAGCATAATTCCAATAGTGGAGAGAAATGTAGTGTTAATGTTTTTTAAAGGATAAATTAAACATCATGAATTTTACTCTTTTATTTTTTGTAGGAATAAAGACCCAAGTCAATGGATTGCTACTTTTGGTACAACTATAACACCACCTGCAGTAAAACGAAGAGTGGGGAAAATTATAGTTCATGAAAATTACCATAGAGATACAAATGATAATGACATTGCTTTGGCTCAGCTCGCCACCCGAGTTGAATTTTCAAATGTAGTCCAGAGAGTTTGCCTTCCAGATTCATCTATAAAGTTGCCACCAAAAACAAGTGTATTCGTCACAGGATTTGGGTCCATTGTAGATGATGGTAAGTTGTTTAAATCTAGTTTTCTTAGTATTTGAATTTCTTGAAGTTAAACAAGCTGTCTTAGGGAATCCAGCTTAAGCTTTTCATAAAAATAATGACTGTGTTTCTATGCATATGGCCCTGGTCAGAATAAGCATCTGTAGGTTAAAAAGTAAAATAGTGAAGTCTATGTCTTTGAATTTTTAATTGTGGCAGCCATACAAAAAAGGGACAAGTTAATATAGAAGAAAAGAACAAACTGTGTTAGGTAATATAAGAAAGGACAGAAAGGGAATAACTAATTAATAATTGTGTACTTCCTAAATGTAAATACTTTTTGATCAGTATATACTTTAAATCAACCTTTTTTGGCAAAGACTTAGATCTCTGTTTTATTTTTAATTTTTATTAGTATAAGTTTGTGATACATAATTACATTCATTTTGGAGAATTGAAAAAATATATAGTTATTACATCTTAATCAGTTTTACATGTACTTCCTCTCCCACTCTTCCCCATCCCAACTCCCCCTTTTCCTTTGTTTATTTTAATCCTTCATCGTTTTAATGAGAATTTATAATAGCTATAAACATGAAAATAGTTTATGAATGTTTCGAGAATTTTCATTTTTGTTCATTAATAAAATAAGCATTTTTCCTCTATCATACTTCTTAAGGATAAGAGCTTACATCTAAGAATTTTAAAAATTGAAAAGAGGAAACAAGTTTCTAAGTATTTCTTTACTGTGCTCTAAAGAGAGGGATTACCTAAACATTGTAAAGTAAAAACTAAGATATACCTAAAGTTCTATAAAGGGTATCTTGAAAAAAGTCAGGGGCCAATGCTCTTCTATCTTAATCTAATTCTTTCTTTTTTGATAGAATTCTACTAATATGAAAAATTTTCAAAATATCCTATGCCTATTCAATGTATCTTTGTGAGAGATTCTTGTTTCTTTTGATATTTCTCTCCCCTTATTGCTAGCTCATGAATATTCACCAACAGCCACACCCAGAATCCCTTACAGCAGTCAGGTACGCAGCACCCTCTTCTAAAACCCAGCCTGCTCTGTGCTGGCATCAGACTGCTCTCACTCATGGGCATTCATCTCATTCCCATGCTATAAGACACTGCTAAATAGCATAGTATAGCATAAACTAGGGCAAATGGATTTGTGCAACTGTGTCCTAATTTCTACGTATATAACTTCTCATAAATCTATAAATTTCCATGGCCTTGGTTTCCTTATATGTAAAATGTGCCAGTTGGACAAGATCAGTATGAGCTCATACAGAGGCGCATATATAACATTTTTCCATAATATATAGATATATGATCCACAATAAAATATAAAACTAGGGCATGAATAATAGGGTTTCTTGCATGTGCATACTTTTAAGATATTGTTATGGCTTGAATCTAAAATGTCTTACAAAAGTCATGTGTTAAAGACTTGGTCTTCAGCTGATAGGTCTTTGCATGATGACTAGATCATGCAGGCTCTAACTTCATCAGTGGATTAATTCTGTAATGGATTTACAGTTTGATGGTAGTAGTAATCAATCCTAGAAATTGAAGAGATAGGACCTAATAAGAGGGAGTACGTCATGGTGGCCAGTCCTAGCTCTTTCTCCTCTGGTGCTTTCTCCCTCCTCTGCTTCTTGGCTGCTGTGTAATGAGCAGCTTTGCTCTGCCACATAATCCTGCTGCCATGATATTCTGCCTGGCCACAGACCCAAAGCAATAGAGCCAGCTAACCATGGACTGAAACCTCTCAAACTGTGAGCCAAAACAAACCTTTCCTCCTTTAAATTGGTTTTCTCAGATATTTTGTCACAGCAAGGAAGTGACTAACAGACATAGAAAATGAAACTAAGGGATAATTAAAGTTAATAAATTAATCTTGTGCTTTTGCTCCTAGAAATATATCATTACCTCCCTTCTATGTCTCAGTTACAATTCTGTTTGAAATATACACTGTTTATTTCTTTGTGTGTGTAACAGGACCTACACAAAATACACTTCGGCAAGCCAGGATAGAGACCATAGGCACTGATGTGTGCAATAGAACGGATGTATACGATGGTCTGATAACTCCAGGGATGTTGTGTGCTGGCTTCATGGAAGGAAAAGTAGATGCATGTAAGGTAAGTGCAAAGTCAAGGTCAAAACTTTAAAAGTAATATTACCATTAGCTATTTCTAAGTTTGGTACATATTTCATCTGGAAGAAAAAATGGCACCTAAATAAGTCACACGTGTAAATACTGAATAGTTTCTCTGGTGTGAAAAACTATAACAGTACATAGGATCCTAATGGGATAATTAAGAGTGCAAAATAGGTAGAAAAGGGCTAAAGGTGTAGGGAAAGTGGGAATGGTAGGGGAAAGGAAGTAAGGGAAAAGAAAAAATATGAGAAAATGTAAAAATGGAAATGAGTTTGTAAATGGGGAGAGGAGGAGAGGGTGAAGGGAGGGCAGGGACAAGGGGGAAAAATGAGAACCAAGAACTGTCATGTGAAGGTACAGGATCCCATTAATGAATGTAACTGTATTGTAGACCTAGATTGTACCAGTAAACTCAATTTAAAAACTTAGAAAATATTAAGAAAAAGTGGCACCAACTTTGCCTAGATCTAAATTTATTTAATAAAAAATGTTATTATATTGTTTTACGGTGTGCCAAGGTGGAAGCTAAGTACTTTTTACATAATATTTTATTTAATATAATGAGATATAAGTGGTATTATAATTATTCCTATTTATAAATTATGAATTTAAATTCTATTTTTGGTACACACAATTACTTTTGTAATTCATCTCTTGTTTTTTTCCTAAATGAAAATCTAAAAACAAAAACAAAAGACAGAGAAACTTGTCCTCTGCAGACCATGTCATTCATCTCTATCATCACCTCTTATACAAACTATTTTCACTCTCCAGCTCCCTATCCCCTCACTCCTCAGTAGGACTAATAGTTACACATGAAATAGTTTTCTGTCCTAAACCTAGAATGCAGGATCAACACTGGCTGGTGGAAATGCTGGACTTCCAGTTTCTAGATTTCTTCATCTTCAGTGAACTGTGCTCTTCCTCGCCCTCCTCAGGTACCATTTTTAAACACTGGGCACTAGCATCAAAAGCTGTTCCATCTCTAATTCCTGTCTTCCTATTGGACCAGCATCCCCTTTCTTCCCCTCTGCCCCTGTTTTTCATCTACTCCTGGGTCCCTGAATATATTTTTTATGTTACCTCTCAACCTCACTCCTGACACATACTTTTACTACCAAATATTTGTGGAAATATTCTTACCTATTAATTCCAATTTTCTTCATACCCCTTAACTCCTCAAACCAATTCAGTGTAGTCTTTGCTCTGGTACTTCACCAAAATAGCTCCTCCTAAACTCTCTAATGACATCTCTTAAAATCCAGTAAGTATTTTAATTTTTTTCTGTTCCCACCTTTCAGCAGCATTTAATAATGCTTACCATTCCTTTCCTTTGAAGTATTGTCTTCCTTTGATCTTTTCGCCCAACTTTCTCTCCCTACTCCATATTCAGGTCATTATCTGATCCTATGGATTTTATCTTCTCTCCACCTCCATTTGTCCACTGTCTTGTCTCTTCTGTTTCCTTCCTTCTACCCTCAGACAACTCTTCTAGCCCTACTATTTATTTCACTATTACTTTTATGATTTTAGTGGGCTTATCAAACAAAAATCAGATTTGTTTCTCACAAGAAGACAATCTTATTATGTCAAATCTTTCCTTAAAATGCTTCAGTGGCTTTTTAAAGCCCTACAATAAAAATCAAAAGATTTCTTAACAAACCCAAGATCAACAGGGCTCCACCTGGGCCAGTTTACCCCTACCTCTCCTGCCTGCCTCACCATAGCCCACTTTTTCCCCCTTTCTGGCTTCTTTCCATACGTTCAAGCCCCAACCACCTGCAGGCCTTTCCACACATGAGGCTCCTTCACGTTACAGCATGTGTGTGGTACTGTTCCCTCTGCTTGGAAGACATTTCATCCCCACTTTCCTTTTTATGGTCAACCCATCTTCCTTCAGCAATCAGCTCTATTACACCCCAGTTATATTCCCTGATCAGATTCCTTTGTGGTGTGTTTCCATGATACATATCACAGTTGTAATTTTGCATTTGTTTGGGATTTAATTTTTTTTAACTTAAACTTTAAGCATAAGGGACTTTTCAGTTTCAGTCATTATTATTTCCTTAATACCTATAAAAAAATCCTGGTACATATATTAAGAACTCATCAAATAGTAGATAAAAGAGTGCATTAAAAACAAGTTGAAAGAGACATAGTAAAGTAAATTATCTTGCCCAAGGTCATGTAGCCAGCAACTAACAGAACTGGGCCTGAAACTCAAACAGCTCAACTACAGTGAGAACACTTTTAACCTCTCCGTGAATATCTGTGCACTTACTTTATCTTCATTGTCCCAAAACAGACTAAAAGGAGCTTTTATAAAATTCAGCAAGCAAACCTAAGTTCCAAGTAGGAAAATAAAAGAAAAGGAGACCAACAGTACATCCATTGTAGGTCAAGGTAACAATATTCAAGAGAGAGCTTTAAAATTTTCTACCTTTACTATGACAAATAATCTCATATCTGACATTTATATGTATAAATATTACTAAATTAAACTCACAAAAACACCCCATGAATGGTCAACCAGAAATGCAGCTATTCCATATTAATAAAGGTGAGTCATTCTAAAAATAACAATGCACTTTAAAATTTAACATAAAATCTAAACTCAATTGAAAAGAGCATTATATATTGTAGTATATTCTGGCTGTGTGCTCTATGTACCAATTTCCTTTTTATCTGTGGAAAAGAAATAATTATAATGACCATTTTGCTAAATCAAAATAGTTAACAACTTCAAATATGTATTTACTTTTATTCTAGGGTGATTCTGGCGGACCTCTGGTTTACGACAACCATGACATCTGGTATATTGTTGGCATAGTAAGTTGGGGACAATCGTGCGCTCTTCCCAAAAGGCCTGGGGTCTACACAAGAGTGTCTAAGTATCGAAAATGGATTGCTTCAAAGACTGGTATCTAGCATGGGTGGTTTGTGATTTACCTCCATGACTTGTGGAGCCCAAACTCCTCGTATTGTACATTATTTAAATTCCTCTGTTTGGAATCAGTGCTTTTGCTGGATGTCAAAAACTCTTCAGGACTGGACCAGGGTAATATGAGTCAGTCTTGTATACACCTGGCCAAACTGTGCCTCTGACATGATGAAGAAGACACAGCAATGCCGCATGCCACTGATTCCTCACTCACAAGGGAAACTGTGACAAGTGCCTGGAAATGCCTCCCCGCTATCGAAGATGTGGAGCACCATGTTCTACAGGGCACAAGGAGCTGCCAGGCTGTCACATTCCTACCTCCTGTAGCACTTGCAGCACCTGGGATTCTTCTGCTGAAAAATCAAGCAGCAGTCAATCCTCAAAATTCAGAGCTTTAATGTTCAAGAACTGATGACTGCACACTTATGGATAGAATGAAGGAGCATATAATCTTCACTGTACCTTGAACTTGTGCCTGGGTTTGTATCCGATAGTACAGGACATTACCATTAACCACAGGAGTTGTCATTTATTTAAATCTTTCTGAACTTGCCATTAACACTGTGTTGTGTACTCAACACTAACTTCATGAAGCAACGTGGGGTTGCAAGAAGCATTTTTGAGTTATTCTTTAACAATATCTTACCATCTATACATCGATTCCAGTCAGCCCTGTGAGAAAGAAGACTCCTCTTGGGAGCATATTTTCATGAAAAAGAATAAAAAGCAGGGAATGATTACTAACATAGCTGGCTACAAATGATTGCCAACAGGAAAAACACTAAATTTTTGATGGAATGGGTTAGCCAGTAGTTTATTTAGAATATATATTTCATAATATGACAAGTGGTGCTCTTGTCGAGTTTGCAGCTCTCTGAAAGGACAAATGTTTTGTGTAAAACACTCAGAAAAGAGCCAGGCTTGTACTGAGTGTTAAATAGCTGATCATCTGTTGTCATGCTTCTGACTATAGAGAGCCTGAACTTATTTTCAAACCTCAAATGTGAGACCTCAATTTGTTGCTCTGACTTTTCAGAGAAAAAAAATATCTGGCCATTCATTCCTCTAATGATTGAAACTTTTGTTTCATCACATATGTTTGTATGTAAGATATGTAAACAAAATAAATATAATTAATATCCAAGTTGTTATTTACATCTCAATAATATATCATAAATACAGAAGGGTCAACCAAGCACATTTAACCTTTTAAAAAGTAAATTTCACCAAATTCTAAGTTAATGACATAATAATTAGAAATTATCTGGAAAAGGAGAGTTAAAGACTTAAATTCTAAAAGTTATTTCATTTACTTAATTTAAATCCTTATGTATGCAGATAGCAAAGAAACATATTGCTTTCCAAACAAGTTTAGTGTATTAAAGATGTGATTGATTGATGTTGGACTTTTTATATTAAAGCTAATATAATCTCCCTTGGTAGATACAGGAAAGCAAATATCTCTACAGAAAAAAATCATTTTTCCCTATGTAAGTTCTATAATAATGAATATATACTTTTGTGTAATTTTATTTATATAAAATTATATAATTATATAAATTAA